GGCCTAGTGTGTTCTTTAATTTGACATAATCTGCAACAGGGACCTAGTGTGTTCTTTAATTTGACATAATCTGTGACAGGGGCCTAGTGTGTTCTTTAATTTGACATAATCTGCGACAGGGGACCTAGTGTGTTCTTTAATTTGACATAATCTGTGACAGGGGCCTAGTGTGTTCTTTAATTTGACATAATCTGCAACAGGGGCCTAGTGTGTTCTTTAATTTGACATAATCTGTGACAGGGGGCCTAGTGTGTTCTTTAATTTGACATAATCTGTGATGGCCTAGTGTGTTCTTTAATTTGACAATCTGTGACAAGGGCCTAGTGTGTTCTTTAATTTGACATAATCTGTGACAGGGGCCTAGTGTGTTCTATAATTTGACATAATCTGTGACAGGGGCTTAGTGTGTTCTTTAATTTGACATAATCTGTGACAGGGGCCTAGAGTGTTCTTTAATTTGACATTATCTGTGACGGGGGCCTAGTGTGTTCTATAATTTGACATAATCTGTGACAGGAGCCTAGTGTGTTCTATAATTTGACATAATCTGTGACAGGGGCCTAGAGTGTTCTTTAATTTGACATTATCTGTGATGGGGGCCTAGTGTGTTCTTTAATTTGACAATCTGTGACAGGGGCCTAGTGTGTTCTTTAATTTGACATAATCTGTGACAGGGGCCTAGTGTGTTCTTTAATTTGACATAATCTGTGACAGTGGCTTAGTGTGTTCTTTAATTTGACATAATCTGGGGCCTAGTGTGTTCTTTAATTTGACATAATCTGTGACGGGGGCCTAGTGTGTTCTTTAATTTGACATAATCTGTGACAGGGGCCTAGTGTGTTTATTAATTTGACATAATCTGGGGCCTAGTGTGTTCTATAATTTGACATAATCTGTGACAGGGGCCTAGTGTGTTCTTTAATTTGACATAATCTGGGGCCTAGTGTGTTCTATAATTTGACATAATCTGTGACAGGGGCCTAGTGTGTTCTTTAATTTGCCATATCTTTAGTGAAAAGAAATCTGTAATATAACCAGTAAACACTGTATAATATTAAATGATAGATTAGGTTCAATACCATATAATTATTCATGTATACATAAATTAAGTTAGGTTATTATACGGTGGGTTGATAAATATTCAGATTACTTACCACCCTCACTAGCCAGTTGAGGGTGAAGGCTGAAGTTGAGTAGTGGGTTCCAAAGTGGAACGGAGGAATAGTTTCGTGTTCCCATGTCTCGTACCGATCCTCAAAGTATGCTTTACGACTGGGATTCAGTGCCCCGATTGGCTGAAATATACAAGAATGACTTAGACTCAGCCATTTCCTTATGACTGATAGTAAGTATAGCTAAACACATCATTTGAAAATACACATTAGTGAAAGTGAATATCAATTGGCTATATATATATGTTTTGACTTTATACTGTACAAATGCTTACAAGTAGAGCTAGTGAGATAACACTGTATCTCCCTAGTGTCTTTATATGCTTCTTACTTCCAATAAACTCGAAGGTTAAGTTAAAACTATATGTCAATCACCTGAAGACGTCAGGATAACCTGGTGAAACGTAGTGTATTTATTGACTTCTTACTTCCAATAAACTCGAAGGTTATGTTAAAACTATATGTCAATCACCTGAAGATGTCAGGATAACCTGGTAAAACGTAGTGTATTTATATATTTCTTACTTCTGATAGACTCCATGTTTATATCGCATAAGTTAGTTTAAAACACTTTAGTGAGTCTGAACATAGAGTTAATTTGTATTCGTTTTTAACAAGTTTACGTTGACTTTTTTATTATTTTTTAACAAGTAATTCTAAATAATACTGACTATATAACTAGTTCACATCCTCTTCATTCCTACAATACTGACTATATAACTAGTTCACATCCTCTTCATTCCTACAATACTGACTATATAACTAGTTCACACCTCTTCATTCCTACAATGTTAGTACATGAGAAAAACGATCTTACTTTCGACAAGTCCCTGTAGTTACTTGGTAGACTGAGATCTAATTCTTGGGCTTCGTAGTTCGTGATAACCCATGGGAAAACGGGAAACTGGTTCAAGTCGTTATATGTTCGTCCTGTAATATTAGAGTTATGCAGAAAGTACAATAATTGTTGTTTAAGACTCATAACGTTGGTAAATTAATATGTAGAATTATACATAGACCTTAAGTACGAGCTATTGGCCCTCTTACAGGAGTTCATGTACATTGTTGACGGCTCTCGTGCAAGCTACACGTCCCTAATTTAGCAGTGATAGACTAGAGGGAAGGCAGCTAGTCAACATACCTATCGCCAACTCTTGGGCTAATCTTTTACCAACGAAAAGTGGGACTGACCGTCACATTATAACGCCACTCACGGCTGAAAGGGCCAGCATGTTTGGTGGAACGAGGATTCGAACCCGCGACCCGCATATTATGAGTCGCTCGCAAAGAAAAGTATTTGTACATAGAGAAAAGTCCGTGTTTAATTTCACATACTAGCCCTCCAAACAATGTAATAAGTGAACTGTCAGGGCCACGTTGAACACTTTAATAGTGTAGTACTTAGAAAATAATAAAACAAAGTACAAACTTTACAAGAAGTTCGTACTTTGTAACGACAAACAAACAGACAATATTTCTACTCAGAGCAATAAAAGAAAAATGAAGTTAAATATAAAAGACAAAAAAAGTTAAATAAGTAATTCAGTAAATACCTGCAATAGTATTAAGGAACATCAGGTATTCGAAATTAGAAATTTCTCGTCGTTGCCACTTCTGAGTCATGTTGGACTGTTGAAAGATCTGACGAGGAGACATTAAAGACGCTCTCCTGTTGGAGAAGAAACAAGAATGAAAAATAACGTATTTTATAGCTCAGCTGTTCAAACTACAAAATGGAAAGCTGTTTTAATGATATGTCAACACTAAAGTGTAGAACATTGGCATAACGTCTATTTCTGTAATAAATAAAAGAGCGGTGATAGTAAGTGAGATAGCGCGCTCATTAGAGGATAACAACTTATCGTACCTGTTAAAACCCCGAATACATAAGTAGTTTTAGATAACGTCATTACATTGACTAAACGTGGTCAGAGTTTATAAAATTATACTCACTGTTCTAAAACAAATGTACAGAACGTTCAACGTTTCGTAAAATTCATTTTATTTCAATGCGTTTATCATTGTTTGTTTGTTATGGATTTCGCGCAAAGCTACACGAGGGCTATCTACGCTAGCCGTCCCTACGCAGTGTAAGACTAGAGGGAAAGCAGCTAGTCATCACCACCCACCGCCAACGAATAGTATAGAATAGAATAGAAGTTTCGACGAAAGGGCTATGTTTAAACGCAAAGTTACACATTGAACTACCCGTACTCTGCCAATAACGGGTACTGAAACTCAATTTTTAGCAGAGACACTTGGTGAGAGTTTCTAACTTCGTCAAAACGATTATCTGTTTGTGTTTATAGTTTGAATCTACTGATAACATTAAACTGAAAGATTTAAACCGTAATCCACCTCAGAGAATACACGATAACTCCTGCCAATTTACTCTTGCCAATTAAGCACAGAACTTTAGGGTTAGCCTTCAAAGCTTAAAAAATAATTACACCAAACATGAAATGTGTAAATGGTTAAAAAAAAAAAATCTGAGAATATAGTTTATTAAAGAGATAACGATGAATACTGAAAACTGCCACAGTTAATATATTTAGATTCTTGAAAAACAGCAGGATTACGCTCAGTGGGAGCAACGATGGTACACTTCAAGGCGCTAGTACGGCTCATTATTGCCTTAATTAACGAGAACCTAACACAGACTCGCAGGAGTACGGTCATACTCAAACAAACACTGAAAAAAATGGAGAAATTAGCAGGATTTGGACGCAGAGTTTATAAAGATTCATTATGGAGGGAAACTTCAGGAAAATGCCCTCCGAGACGACAAGTCTGTGATCTATAGGTCTTCAATGCCAGGGCGCGATTCGCCAACCCTAAACTAGCCAGCCTCTAACGAGCTATTATGACTAGTAACACATGTCGTCAAGTTTTTAAGATTTCCCGACAATGAACGCATAAGAGGGACTCAGTAAATTTAAAATATTATCGAGTTTTTAATGTCGAAAATCCAGATAAATTCTAACAACTTTCTGGGGGCATATTTTACTTATTTTATCTCCCCTGGTGGTCAACGTCTTTATTCGCAGTTCACGCCCAAAAACTCTGATTTCAATAATATGGTAGGGTTATTCTTACCTTAATTGTGGAATACCGTACTTTACGTCCACACCAACAGATGGTAGGGTTATTCTTACATTTACTGTGGTATGCTGTACTTTACACCCACACCAACAGATGGTAGGGTTATTCTTACATTTACTGTGGTATGCCGTACTTTACATCCACACCAACAGATGGTAGGGTTATTCTTACATTTACTGTGGTAAACCGTACTTTAAATCCACACCAATAGATGGTAGGGTTATTCTTACATTTACTGTTGTATACCGTACTTTATACACACACCAACAGATGGTAGGGTTATTCTTACATTTACTGTGGTAAAGCGTACATTATATCCACACTAACAGATTGTAGGGTTATTCTTACCTCGACTGTGGTAAACCGTACTTTACATCCACAACAACAGATCGTAGGGTTATTCTTACCTTGACTGTGGTAAACCGTCCTTTACGTCCACACCAACAGATGGTAGGGTTATTCTTACATTTACTGTGGTATACCGTACTTTACATCCACACCAACAGTTGGTAGGGTTATTCTTACCTCGACTGTGGTATACCATAATTTACACCAACACCAACAGATGGTAGGGTTATTCTTACCATTTACTGTGGTATTCCGTACTTTATATCCACACCAACAGATGCTAGGGTTATTCTTACATTTACTGTGGTATATCGTACTTTACATCCACGCCAACAGATCGTAGGGTTATTCTTACCATGACTGTGGTAAACCGTACTTTATATCCACACCAACAGATGGTAGGGTTATTCTTACCTTAATTGTGGAATACTGTACTTTACATCCACACCAACAGATGGTAGGGTTATTCTTACCTTGACTGTAGTATACCGTCCTTTACACCCACACCAACAGATGGTAGGGTTATTCTTACCTTGACTGTGGTATACCGTACTTACACCCACACCAACAGATGGTAGGGCTTTGACAACTTTCTTCACAGTAGCGTGGTCTTGAAAAGCAAACATGATGGACGCTGTAAAAAAGAAACAGAATTTTAAATTATTTTACCAGTAATCTTTAACGTGTAGAATATAATTCCAATACAGGTACACAAACTACAAATGTACTTGGTGACAACACCTGGTGTGGGTAAAAGAAGCTAAATGGTTGATGGGGTGTTTATACTAAAATATATTAAAAAAAGAGAAAAAAAAACTTCTTTCACCAGTACAAGTTCCCATTAAATATATGTATAATAATAATCAACACCATTTTAAACATGTTAAATATGTTTTCTTTCACCAGTACAAGTCCCCATTATGTATATGTCTGATAATCAACACTATTTTAAACATGTTAAATATGTTTTGTTTCACCAGTACAAGTCCCCATTATATATGTATAATAATCAACAACATTTTAAACATGTTAAATATGTTTTCTTTCACCAGTACAAGTCCCCATTATATATATGTCTGATAATCAACACCATTTTAAACATGTTAAATATGTTTTCTTTCACCAGTACAAGTCCCCATTATATATATGTCTGATAATCAACACCATTTTAAACATGTTAAATATGTTTTCTTTCACCAGTACAAGTCCTCATAATATATATATGTATAATCAACACCATTTTATTATATAATGTTTTATAGTGCTGATTTTAATCGCCTATTAACAATTAATGTAATTAATATTATCGAAGCTATTTATTTCATTATATATCACTGAAAACATGCTAAATATATTTTCTTTTACCAGTACAAGTCTGCATTTACCCTAACATCAAAGCAATTCCACAAACAGTTTAATGTAAACATACCGAATTCATTGAGATATTCTGCAAGTTATTTATTTTCACCCATTTAGTCTACAGACGTGAAACTACTTTTATTTGTGGTATTAGTAAACATACACAAAACAAACATTCTCTTCCTACTCAATCTCTCCTAAAGAATTTCAACTATATTTTTCTCTGAAAAACGTGAATCGGTAGAGTGTATTATTTTCAGCCTATAAACTGTATGTAGTTAGTGTTCAGCTGGAGGTTTTAACAAGACACAATTTTGTATCCTTCAATACGAGATTCTGGACTGTGATGCAGTTTGGCATATATACACACATTCTGGGGAAGATTAGAACCAGTTTTTGGAATGTATTTTAAAACTTATGACATACACTGAGTGTAATCTCTATCTTCAATCTAGTCAAACCGATTTCCTGCTGTGAACCAGAATATCACAAAATAATAATGTCGTGAACCAAAACGACACGCAAGAGTAATGTTCTGAACCAGAAAGACACACAGTATTAATGCCGTGAACCAAAACGACACACGGTATTAATGTTCTGGACCAGAAAGACACAGTAATATATCGTGAAAGAGAAAGACACACAGTACTAATGTCGTGAACCAGACGACACACACAGAACTAATTTCGTGAATCAAAACGACACACAGTACTAATGTTCTGAACCAGAAAGACGCATAGTACCAATGTCGTGAACCAGAAAGACACATAGTACTAATGTCGTGAACCAGAAAGACACATACTACTAATGTCGTGAACCAGAAAGACACATACTACTAATGTCGTGAACCAGAATATCACACAGTTCTAATGTTGTACATAACGCCTGTGAACCAGAATATCACAGAGTTCTAATGTTGTACATAACGTCATTAACGCCTGTGAACCAGAATACCACACAGTTCTAATGTTGTACATAACGCCTGTGAACCAGAATATCACAGAGTTCTAATGTTGTACATAACGTCATTAACGCCTGTGAACCTGAAAGTCATTAATTGACAGCGCTAATTCAAGAAATTTGATTTTGTTTAAAATATACCAGTGATCTGAGAGAAAGAAACATTAGTTCCAGGAAATGATCATACGAAACAACTTATCTATTCTCTTCGTTCTTTCACGTAGTTTAGTAAAAAAATAATACCACCCTTAGCATGTAAATAAGTTATTATATAATAACGCTCCTGGGGATTTAAGAGAAATTCGACATCATATATGTGACCGTTGGTGGCTCTGACGAACTTTTAAAGGACTCTTCTCCACAGTACAGTAAGAAGACAGAAAAAAACAACTCAGCCTGGCTGGCTTACAAAACCACAAACCGCCGAGTGGAGTGACGACGCCTTATGAATAACACACAAGAGTAGGAGGTGCCGGTCGTACATCTTTGACAATTCTTATCAAGAGGTTGGCGTTTACGTGCGACACGTGCTGTGTTACTTAAGGATAAACCAGAAACATGCACGGATGTTTTAATGTCACCTCCAATAACAGATGATAGAATGCATAAATGTTTGGGCTCTGGCGCTTGGCTAGAAGTGTTAGATTTCACCAATCTTCTTTATCGTGGAGAGAAATTAAAAGCTATAGATATAATGGACATTCCACAATATCCACACACATCTCACTAAATACCCCGAACAGCATCAGCGTATCTTAATCTGAGACATGTCGCTCTACAGTTTAACAAACCAGATGCTGGCAGAAAGCAAAGCTCTCGACTTGTAACTATAAACACGTATTAATAAGAAGAGTTTTTGTCTGAGCTGGCGCTGCTACAATCAGGACGCTCTTCGTATCGTATTGCACGAGCTTACTGTCAGAACATCTCATACACACTACGCCCTATTGTTTGTATGCACAATACTAATACGTTCTTCACAAGCATCAACTAATGGGTATCATAGTTACCAGGAAACCCTGGGAATATCTAAATTATTTTCCAGCGGATTTTTCTCCATTTCTTTCGAGTAAACAAAAAATATTTAATAAATTTGTGAAACTCAAAACAGATTTGGTGGCGTTTCTCTACATAATGAAGTACGTACATTAGTTAAACAGAACAATGAAATTAACTGGATCACATACACGTGCACTTTCCAGTAACATAACTATTTAGGTACTCTCTAACTAACAGTTTTCTCAACATCCGCGAGGATATCTTGTAACATAAGTATTTCTTATATGCTAAGCCTATTAAACGCTAGCTGACCTCAGAGCTCCACGTGAAAGCTTGACGAGTTTTCCATGGTAAGTCAAGTAATAGCTGAACACATGTTTCAAATTACAGACAATCACTACAGCAGCTCCAGTTCTAAGAAGTGATTTATGTTTATTTCACGCAAGCTATTAAAGACCTATATACTCTGTCTACTCGAGAAGACAAACATTGCGTTGAATTAATTCGAGTATACGTACTGTAGAGGGTTAAAACTGATGTTTGTTTTCTAACCAATTACAAGTTCAAGCTAGATTGAAAAAGATCAAAAATATACAAAAAAATGAATGGTAATTCTTAATATTAAAACTTAACACAGTTAAGTACGTTATGATAATTAATATTTACATAAGAGTTTGAGGTAATACTCATAACAAAACAGAAACTAAAAACTCAATAAAGATTTAAAAGTTGGTATTACTTCTACAACTGTCCACAAAACTGACTTTATGGAATAAAGGTATACTATATACTTCTATAAATGTCCACAAAATTGACTTTATGGAATCATTGAATAAAGGTATCGTATATACTTCTATAAATGTCCACAAAACTGACTTTATGGAATCATTGAATAAAGGTATATTATATACTTCTACAACTGTCCACAAAACTGACTTTATGGTATCACTGAATAAAGGTATCGTATATACTTCTATAAATGTCCACAAAACTGACTTTATGGAATAAAGGAATACTATATACTTCTATAAATGTTAACAAAACTAACAAAGTGGAATAAAGGTATACTATATACTTCTACAACTGTCCATAAAATTGACTTTATGGTATCACTGAATAAAGGTATAATATATACTTCTACAACTGTCCACAAAACTGACTTTATGGAATCATTGAATAAAAGTATAATATATACTTCTACAACTGTCCACAAACGTTACTTTATGGTATCACTGAATAAAGGTATACTATATACTTCTACAGCTGTTCACAAAACTAACTTTATGGAATCATTGAATAAAGGTATACTATATACTTCTACAACTGTCCATAAAACTGACTTTATGGAATCATTGAATAAAGGTATACTATATACTTCTATAAATGTCCACAAAACTGACTTTATGGAATCATTGAATAAAGGTATACTACATACTTCTACAACTGTCCACAAAACTGACTTTATGGTATCACTGAATAAAGGTATACTATATACTTCTATAAATGTCAACAAAACTGACTTTATGGAATAAAGGTATAGTATATACTTCTACAACTGTCTACAAAACTAACTTTATGGAATCATTGAATAAAGGTATAATATATACTTCTACAACTGTCCAAAAAACTGACTTTATGGAATCACTGAATAAAGGTATACTACATACTTCTAGAACTGTCTACAAAACTGACTTTATGGAATCATTGAATAAAGGTATACTATATACTTCTATAACTGTCTACAAAACTGACTTTATGGAATCATTGAATAAAGGTATACTATATACTTCTACAACTGTCCACAAAACTGACTTTATGGAATCATTGAATAAAGGTATACTATATACTTCTAGAACTGTCTACAAAACTGACTTTATAGAATCATTGAATAAAGGTATACTATATACTTCTACAACTGTCCACAAACGTTACTTTATGGTATCACTGAATAAAGGTATACTACATACTTCTAGAACTGTCTACAAAACTGACTTTATGGAATCATTGAATAAAGGTATACTATATACTTCTATAAATGTCCACAAAACTGACTTTATGGAATCATTGAATAAAGGTATACTATATACTTCTATAAATGTCCACAAAACTGACTTTATGGTATCACTGAATAAAGGTATACTACATACTTCTACAACTGTCCACAAAACTGACTTTATGGAATCGCTGAATAAAGGTATACTATATACTTCTACAACTGTCCACAAACGTTACTTTAAGGTTGGGATCTGATTGTTACACTTCAAAACAAAACGTTCTCCACGATGCAGCTCAAGACACAGTAAAATCAATTTCCTA